TTAGAACTGTCCAGCGAAGACTTAATGAGTTTCAACTATACGGACGCGTTGCCAGAAAGAAACCGCTCATTTCAGAAAAAAATCGTCGGGCTAGGATTGCTTTTGCGAAAGACCATTTAAACTGGACACCTCAGCAGTGGTCCAGAGTAATTTTTACAGATGAATCGAAATTTAATCGATTTGGATCTGATGGCAAAGTATACGTGAGACGTCGTAAAGGAGAAGAATTTCATAAAAATTGTATTAAACCGACTGTAAAAGGTAGTAGTGGGTCGGTACTCGTTTGGGGAGCTATGACAGTAAGAGGTACTGGTCCTTTTCATCGCATAACTGGAATCATGGACAGATACGCATATTTGGATATTGTAAAAAACGTATTACTACCATTCGCCGAAGAATACATGCCACAGGAATGGGTCTACCAAGCAGATAATGATCCAAAACATTCCGCTAAAGTCGTCAAGACATTTTTGAGTGACAATAATATTCGCGTAATGAACTGGCCAGCACAATCTCCGGATCTAAATCCAATCGAGATGCTGTGGATTGATGTCGACAAACATGTGCAAAAGCAGAAACCCAAAAATATTGATGAATTGTACACTATTGTACAGGAAGCATGGAATTTGTTACCCGCCAGCAGATGTGTTCGACTTATCGAATCCATGCCGCGAAGGTGTGCCGCAGTTATAAAAAATAAGGCTCTACATACGAAATATTAATGTATTATAATTATAAGTTAAATAAACATGTGAAAATATAGGTGTTTCGATGTGTACTTAAGTATATGTCCGCAGAAACTTGACACTTTGTCATAAAAATACGAAAAACTTTTTAATTATAGCAAATTAAAGAAAGCTATTTTGAAATCTTATTATGTATATTGTAAACCTATAAAAAATATAATTGATTTTCATATATTCGTGTAACGTATAAGTGTAGAGGAAATAATATTTAATTCTAGTAAGTGTACGTAAGTATATGGCCGCCACTGTAGATATGAAGGCAGTTCGGACCAAAATGATTCCACGAAAATAAGAAAAAAATAACTGAACAACTGGAATATTATCGATTTGTAAGAGCGAGCGTACAATAGTATTATTTACGTCGTTGGAATATTTCAGAATCGAGTGACCATTATAAAAAAAGAAAATCGGGCGATGACGTCGCCACCCGGCGCGCAGTGTGTCGTTTGGCCAATTTAGCGGGACAAAAATCCTGCTTCAACGAAATACTGATTATTTTTCGTTTTATTGGTTTTTTATTAATCAAAAACATGATATTTTATTAAATATTAATGATTATATATATTTGCTAACTTTTTAACAGTTAAATGAATATAATAAAATAAACATACAAAATCATTACACAAATTTTTCTATTATATTATACATTATTTATTCTATAAAACTAATATACAAAATCTTTATTATATTTTTTAAAACATGAATATATTTTTTAGTCAGCGTTGCTTTCGTGTGATACGTCTTCCGAGGATCTGGGATCGATTAATGGTTCTTCCAATAATTGTTGTATTTCTATTATTATATTTTCCGGACAGCTTTCGGAGAAGTTTGTAAATGTGAAATAAGCGGATCTGAAGAAATTAATAATCTGTTTAATAAATCCCTGTTAGTATCCATTCTTGAAGCTTTTCTGTTTTAACGAGAAGCGGATGCGTCAGCGCGATATGTCTAAATAAAAACACCCATGCGTCAGCATGATATGTTTAAATAAAAATAATAGATATCAATGTTTGTCTGTAATGCCCTTTCAGGTTTATATTGCTTATAAGTCTAGCTTTCGACACAAGAAGTGGAAACGTTGTATAAAGTGGTATGCTGTGTTAAAAGTCTACCTATATTGTGAAATAGAATTTAAATTATATGCTAACATTTGAAAAGGTATAAGAGATTAATAAAATGCTATTTCAAAGTATGACAAGTGTAGAAATCATTCTGACAAGGAAAGGCACGCAAGTGTCCCCCTCCGATTTTGATGAAACTTCGTAGGTTTGTTAAGCAGGCAAAATAAGGGACACGTATTTTTTTTTATCGGCTGAGACGCGGGTTTAAGGGGTGAAACGAGCCCTTAAAGTTTCGACCCCTTTTGGCTATCTCGAAAACCATACGAGATACATTAAAACTTCTAATAGAAAAGTTGTATGGTTTCTTACGTATAATAACAGGATGTTAACCAATTTTGCAAAATACAATTTGTTTATAACAAAAAAATTTTTCATAACCTTATTTTACAATTTATTCAAATTTGTATAATGACAAAAAGTGTAGAGAATTTTATTACAAATCCATTGGTATATATATATACAATATTGCCTCCTACAATTCCTCAGATTTTTATCATAAAGGTTAACCAGCATTTTGGTAAAGGAAAAAGTTGTTTAGAATCACTCCAGCTACCACCCCCTAAAATTATGCCCACCAGTAGCCGAACACCCTGTATATTTGCGGCGATCGGGCGTTCGCGAGGGAGTTGAAGCTACGACGCGCTAAGACGAACATGTATACGGCGAGCACACTTTATATTTAAATTTACTTTAATAAATTTATTTTTTACTATAACCATGTGCAATGATCCTATAAATTTTGGGGGCTCCGCCGGGATCGAGTGTGAGTTATTAGTCAAAGTGAAGTGTGTGAAGACGATTTTAAGACGATTTTAAGACGACTTCAAGACGATTTCAAGACGATTTCAAGACGATTTCAAGACGACTTCAAGACGATTTAAAGACTATTTAAAGACGATTTAAAGGCGATTTCAAGTTAAAGACTTTTGAGTTAAAGACACGTACGACGACAAAAGTGATACCAAATGGAAGGTGGTAAAGATCCGAAATCGTTCACGCTCGCTGAGTTGAAGGAGATTCTAAGGGTAAAAGGACTCGCTACCAAAGGTAGCAAGAACGAATTGATAGGTCGCTTGAATCTCGACGATCCCAGTGGTGCGTGGATGACAATGTGCATAAACAGTGATGGTGCATGTGACAAAAAATCACCGCACGACAGTGACGACGAACTTGCAAGCAGCGAAAAAAACGAAATGCTGCGACGAAGAGAAATCGAGGTCTGCCGACGGGAGAAAGAAGTGCTTGAGAAAGAACTTGAGTTCGCCCGTCGTGAAATCCAAATGTTGCGCCGAAGTGCCGATCTTCAAAGCGACGGACAATCGACGTCAAGTCAATCAGTGCAATCGCTCCCTATACCGCAGAAAGTGAACGTAGAGGCAGTGGCAAATCTTCTGGGTAATTTCTCCGGGAATTAGGAGATGTATGAAACGTGGGAGAAACAGATGAAGTTCCTGAAGATGACCTTTAAGCTCGAGGAAGACATGACGAAGATACTGATCGGCAAGCGGCTAAAAGAAAAGGCGTGGGAATGGTTCCATTCGAAACCAGAGTATATGCATATGACGTCGGACCAGTTATTCGCAGGGCTCCGGGGTATGTTTTTCCACCGCCCAAATAAGATCGCTCTAAGACGACAATTCGAAGACAGAGTGTGGAAAGAAGACGAAACATTCCACAGCTACGTTCACGAGAAGGTAATAATGGGGAATCGAATCGCTATCGACGACGACGAGATCATGGGCCACATAATCGACGGCATCCCAGACCGGAACCTACGCAACATGGCACGAGTGCAGGCATTCACGACGAAGGAGCAGATCCTGCAGGCGTTTGAGGAGATCTCCCTACAGGACAAGGGTTTCGCAGGGACATCGACCGGCTCGAAGAACGGAGACAGAAGTGTGGCACGGCGTAAGATAGATAAGAACTCTAAGGACGATACAGGTGAAAGAAGCGAAAAGAAAGATTCATATATTAAGAGGGATCCAGGTATGTCAAAACGTTGTTTTAATTGCGGCATGAAAGATCACGTAAGCGCAGATTGTCCGACGAAAGGTAAGAGCCTGAAATGTTTTAAATGTAATGAATACGGTCACATCGCGCGTAATTGCATAAAAAAGAACGACGTTTCAAAAAATAGTTGCGCAGTGTCCCAGTCGAGACTAAGTAAGCATGTTAAAGACGTTTTGATTAACGATGTTCCGATCCAAGCGATTGTAGATACGGGAAGCGATATCACGATCATGAGCGCGAACGCGTATACGAAAATCGGTTCACCGCGACTCGAGAACGATATCACGCCGTTCCAAGGGATAGCCACCGACGAAAACGCAACGATGGGCAAGTTTCACGCGAAGCTAACGGTTGATGATCATTCGTACGCGATATCGATTAATGTCGTTTCCGATGTATTGACGCGATATTCGTTGTTGATCGGAAAACTTCCTTGACGAGATTGAATTAAATGTGGAAAAGCTACGATTAAGCCGTTGAATGAAAAAGATTGCAGTTTTGCGGAAATTTGTCAGATCGACGTAGTTTGCGGACCGATAATGTAGATTTAGCAAACATTCAGGACGATGTACATAAACAGGCGATACGAGACTTAATAGATAATTATAAACCAAGACGAACCCAAGACGCGAATGTTAAAATGAATTTAGTTTTAAAAGACGAGGAACCCGTTTATCAGCGCGCGAGACGATTATCGGCGGTTCAAAAAGACATAGTTGACAGCCGAAGCGAAAGGAGTAAAATGTGAAGAATACATGCTATATTAGAGCAACAATTGTTTTATTAAGCATAGTAATTATTTAAGACTTAAAAAATGTATATACAAAAACCATGCGCATTGTGCACATTTCTGGCGCGTGCTTCCGTACGGTGACGACACTTCGGCTTACCGGATTGCCGAAGCGAAAGGGTTAATAGAAGATCAGCTAGATGCACTGCAAAGTGCAAGGGTGTTCAGCACGTTAGACCTAAAGAACGGATTTTTTCACGTACAAATAGAAGAGTCAAGTCGAAAATATACCGCATTTATAGTTCCCAATGGGCATTATGAATTTCTCAGAGTGCCGTTTGGACTCTGTAACTCACCCGCGATTTTTCAAAAGTTTTGTAAACGCTGTTTTCCGGGATCTTATTCGCGAGCATGTGCTATTAGTTTATATAGACGATTTGATAATACCCTCAGTAGATTTTGAAACGGGATTGAAATATCTTGCGCGAGTGTTAGAAGTCGCGAGTCGAAATGGTTTAATCAGCTATGAGCTTGAGGTTCTCGCGATAGTTAGGGCATTGCGAAGGTTTAGAGTTTATTTGCTCGGCATCGCGTTTAAGATCGTCACCGATTGTCGCGCGTTTACCTTGACCATGGCGAAGAGAGATTTATGCATACGCGTGGCGCGATGGGCGCTCCTGCTCGAGGAGTTTAATTACGAAATCGAGCACCGCTCCGGAAAAAACATGCCCCACGTCGACGCCTTAAGCCGAAACCCGCTACCGACATGTCTGCTTATCGCTGAGAGTGATGAAAGCCTGACGATTCGACTCAAGAAGGCACAACACGACGACGACGAGACCAGAAAAATGACTGAACGAATGAAAGAAAAGGAGATCTCAGGGTATGCTACGAGAAACGGGCTATTGTTTAAAGAAGTGGACGACGATTATTGTTTGATAGTTCCGATGCATTCCCAGGTTATACGAAGAGCTCACGAAAGGGGACACTTTTCAGTAGCAAAGACGAAAGCTATAGTTAAACGAGACTATTACATACCCAACCTGCAAGAATTGCATAAGTTACATTTTAGCCGAGAAAAAACAGGGAAAGCAAGAAGGATTCCTGTTTACTATCGATAAGGGCGAGATTCCACTGGACACCTTTCACGTCGATCATCTGGGTCCGCTGGCTACGACGAAGAAGAGCTACAAACATATATTCGTGGTTGTCGATAGTTTTAGTAAGTTCACGTGGCTGTATGCCACGAAGTCGACGGGCACCGCTGAGATACTGGACCGTCTGAAAAAACAATCTGCAGTTTTCGGTAATCCGCGTAGAATAGTCTCTGATCGAGGTACGGGATTTACAACTAGCGATTTTAAGGAGTATTGTCAACACGAGGGAATCCAACATATTTTGACGACGACCGGAATTCCGAAAGCGAACGGGCAGGTAGAAAGAGTTAATCGAACGCTTATACCGCTCTTGACGAAATTAGCTGCTCCGAAGCCTGCTGAATGGCATAGATACTTGAGTATCGCTCAGCAGTACCTAAACACGACGGTGCATCGAAGCATTGACACGACGCCGTTCCATTTATTGTTTGGAACACACGCACGACTACACGAAGACGATAATATTCGAGAGCTACTCGAGAAGGAATGGGTCAACTCGCTTCAAGACGATAGGGAAGAATTGCGTGCCCAGGCGAAGGAAAAGATCGCTGAAATCCAGGAAGAAAACCGACGAGGATTTGACGGAAAGCGGAAGCAGGCACGCATGTACAGAGAAAGTGATTTGGTTGCCATAAAGCGAACGCAACAAACACCGGGGTGGAAATTTACGGCGAAGTTTTTGAATCGTTATATTGTAGAAAAGGTCGGCGAAAACGAGGAATCCCAACGGACATCAACGGCTGCAGACTTTATGAAGTTGTGGGTGAGAGACGATGATGATGACCTGGAATACTACGAAGAAGAGGAAGTTGCATTCAATCGGCAAGATAACGGTGAAGAGGAAGACATTCGGGGTCGAATGTCGGTGCAGGACGGCCGAGTGTAGAATTTGATGTTTTGCGCGATGGCACGGTGGCACGTGCCGATTTCGGTGGCACGTGGCAATCGGTGGCGCGTGGCAAGATTTGCGTACGGAAAAACCCCAATCAAGACAAAAGAGCGTTAGGGTAATATATATTTGCGGCGATCAGGCGTTCGCGAGGGAGTTGAAGCTACGACGCGCTAAAACAAACATGTATACGGCGAGCACACTTTATATTTAAATTTACTTTAATAAATTTATTTTTTACTATAACCACGTTCAATGATCCTATACTACTTTTAATTATTTTGTCTTTTGTACAGATACGAAAATGTGTCAAGTTAAAAAAAGTGACCTACATAAAAAAGAATGAAGTTCCATCATTAGTGTTCCAACCGTTGGAACACGGTACGTGAGGATTCCGCTTGAAGAGTTTATGATAGGTCCGCGACAAAGGCTATTTTTGAGAAAGGCTTTTTCCTTATTCCCTGCAATATTCATTTACCTTTTTTCATACAATAGCGTTAAATTTTTAGTTTGGTTTCGTCCTCGATAGCCAATTCCTATCATAAATTCGGTCATTCTGAAGGGTCATTCCGACGGTACATTCGTTACGGTACTTTTACGGCAATCAGGCCTGAGACCCAGAGGAAAATCCCTGGCGTTGCCGGACTTGCGAATTTCTCACGTACGCTCTGGTACCGTCCCACCCTATCCTAAAAAACGAGTTAAGGGCGTAACGGAAGGGTGGGAGAAAGTCAGGGACACGTTGATTGAAAAATCAAAAATCGAACGATGACCAATCAACGTGTTTCCGAAACTTTCGCCAGGACTCCTTAGCTCGCACTATCGAGAGCTAAGGAGAGAACACAATCAACCGTCGAATAGATCAAGATCAACATCGAGCATCGAACGAACTATTCGAACCTCAATAGTTTTTTTTTATAAAGTCCTTCATTTCGAGACATGGATAAACGTATAACGTAACACGTAGCTGAACTTTATCAGTCGAAAGGAAGCTAAATTTTTTTGGTAAATATGCCGATGGAGGGAGCCAGCTCCGATGACCTTGACCTCGACATATGTTGTCAAGGTTACCCTCCTGAGTGACCTTCAGAAGGTTTTAGCCGTCGCTCGTTGTTTATTAAAAAGTTATTAACAATAAAAGTTACTAAATAAAATGAAACCTAACCTCTAATTTTGCCTTGCCTGGGTGTAAAGGGTGTTCTAGAATGTTCAAACATATAATATATTTAAATGTATGTAATGTCACAAATATTCATTTTATTTAGTAACTTTTATTGTTAATAACTTTTGAATAAACAATGAGCGACGGCTAAAATTTATTGTAGGTTACTCAGGACAGTGACCTTGACAACATATGTCAAGGTCAAGGTCATCGGAGCTGGCTCCCTCCATCGGCATATTTACCCAATTAGCGTAACTACAATGTGCGTGGTGTCGCACCACGTTAGTTGTATTGCCACACGTTATTTATCGCCATACGTTGTATGACTACATATGAGAACACCACGAACGGTTCATGAATTAATGAAACGATGAAATTTTTTATGTTCATGTAATACATTTTATTTACATTCTCCAAAATAATGTAGTATACAATTTAATATTGATTAGTTGCTTTTAACAACGAGAATGTCATACTTCAATTAGTTCAAATTCGTTTTTGAGTATCAATATTTTTTTAACTCTCTCTACATAATCTGATAGCATTCAATACATATAGACGAAATATAATAATTTCGAATGTCAGAATTCATTGGTTCAATAGTAACATATTGTTAAAATTCGATAGTTTGGTGCAGTATATCTTTCGGCTTTCTTTAATATGGTAACCAGGTGAATTTTATTATTTAATAAAACACATTTTGTACTCGGATCGCATAAATTAAAAATGCCATTAGGCTGATATTATCGCAGCGACAGAATTGTCGTCATAAGTATTCGCACAAGTCACTAATTTATTGCTCTGAAAATGTATCCCTCGTCTTATCCAGTCTTTTGCAGGGCATCAATATGATTCCATTTTTTTGAGTATACGTGCCGTCACTAGCTAAAATTTATTAAACTTCACTTCATTAAAATTTAATCAAAATATAGCTACAATCTAATTCAAGTTCAAAGCAAACAATACTTGTCTACCAACTCTGTACTATGATTGTTACTCTTGTGTATACAGCCTTTTGTTTTAAGTCCTGTGTAACTTTTGAAACAGTCCGTGTAAATTTCACTGCCGATATTAACGTGTCCGTTCATGTATAGTGAGTACCATATGATTCTCAATTACAGTCATACAATAGTCGTTTGTGTTAGCGTTGATCATCCTCAATGAATGTCTAATTTTCTGACATGTATTACGTTCCGAACAGGAATATTTTTCAAAATTTCCTTTGTAGTTCTCGCCGCCCGGTTGTGTATCGATAATGCGTATTGCATTCTGGGAACACCCTGATCGAACGCAGTAACGGTCTTTTATGTTATTAGATAGACTATTTCTTGGCGTCAAAGTAAGATTATTAATATCACACATTCTTTCCTTGAAATCAACGTAGTCCCACGGCCAATCTCTTAGATCGTCTTATTTCTGCGAACTGCCAAACATAAGCGAAAGTCACACTCATGTGGTCCGATAACGCCAAACGTTCTGGAATGTTCCTGAAGGGCCCG